AAATATTAAAGTATCAAATTTAAGATATATTGACGAATGCAAAATTGATGATTTGGCAGACCATAACATTGAGGAAGTACCCAGCAGAAATGTCCCTAGCCACTTGGGTTTGTTTTATTGGAGCACTACAAAGCACTGCAGTCACACTTTTTATGGAACGTCATGACACTCATGTTTGGTCTATTGGCTTTGATTCAAGCCTTTTTGCTTCTGCATATTCGGTCAGTACCCATTACTCTTGTTATCGATGGCCCAACTCAAAATACATTATTAGCAGTAGCTTAATTACCACACATTATTATACCATAATGTTTTTATTTTGACTTATATATCTCTTTGATTTATTGCACAGGGAATTGTAACATCAGCAATCCAATTTTATGTGCAAGGCAAGGTCATTAAAACCACTGGCCCAGTTTTTGTCACAGCTTTTAATCCTTTGCGTATGATCATAGTCACAGCCTTGGCCTGCCTACTCCTAGCTGAGAAACTCTACCTTGGAAGGTACTAAGATATTCTTTTGGAAAACGATATATTTTTCTACTGAATTGTCCTATAAATCAGTTTATCAATTATTGATTTACTAGTAACATATATCATATTCTTGCAAATAGAATGATTTAGTAGAAGGATATAATATATAATAGACTTTTAATTTTATTTCTCTAATCCAACTTTACATTGAATATTAACTTTTTTGAATTATCATTTGCGTATATCAGCATTATTGGAGGAGTGGTGGTGGTTGTGGGACTGTACTTAGTTGTGTGGGGAAAATCTAAAGAACAGAAGAAACGTCTTATGCCACCGTCACCAGAAAAGGAGATCAACCTGCAGCTACCAGTTACTGTCCCCATAAATGAGAGCAAGACTGATAATAAAACTCACTTTGTTGCAGATAAAAACAACGATATAGAAGCCTAAACAACAAGTGCAGAGAGCCAGTCTCAATGAGTCATCATTGTCATATTAAGTAGATTTTGGCTTTGTTTAATCAATCATTGGGGTACCTTTCCCAATAAAAAATAACAGAGGTCAATGTAATGGGTTTTTTTAGCTTAGATGTTGCTCATATGCTTCTAACTTTGGTTCATTTTTGTGGGGATTCTACCTTTTGAAGTTAAAGAATTATCAAAATATATGTTCTGTTTCTATATTATTCTAGCATTTTCTAATACACATATTCACAACATCAACACACGGATTAGGATCATTTGTCCCTTAAACTTCCTGTCTCCCTATCCTGTACCAATCAATGTTTGCCAAAATATTAAAAATAACATTTCATTTTAATTTTGTTTTACAAAAATAATTAATTAAATCCACATGTCCAGATATAAGTGAACGGGACATGGATGGAGACACCAAGTTGAGACAGATGATTTTCATCCGAAGAACACTTCTTGTGATTAATGTAACACGTTTAGGAACACATGAATGTGTCGTCCAACAGTAAAATAATAGATATTAATGAACAAATCTTACCAACAATGCGTTCTATTGGTCTAATAGTATAAGCCCCACTAGATCGTTGGTTATCATACAAGATCAAATTTGGAAAGTTCAATTTTTAGAAATAACATTTACTAAAAGGAATAACCATATATCTTAAAAGAATCAGTTCATTAGGAGTGGAAGTTATGCAAAATTACCTTATCCAAGTCCAACAATATCACGGGCCTAACCAAGCTAGGTTTATTTGGGCTTTACCTCCTGATGTTCACTAATCACTATTGATGATTCAGTTATGAAGGTTCGGCTAGTAATTAAAAAGTAGCTTAAGCTAATTTATATTTTATTATTCCAAATGCTTTTTTATCCACACGGTTTCTTTATCTTTTAATATATAGCAACATCAATCCTAATGTTCACTAAGTGATATAGTTTATTCTGATATGAACACTAAACAATTGTTTGTGTAAATTAATATCACATCATTAAGGCTCCACCATCAACTTTATCTAAACGACAAATTGTTGCAAACTGCGTCGATTCTCATATCCCACCTACCATCACTACTAATGTTTATTTCTATACAATGTTATGATTTATCTGTCACTGTTCTAATAATAAAACAATAATGATATATTGGTACACTAAAATACATTTTACTTGCTATATGAATTATCGAAAATAAAACTCTCACACTTAAGGATTAACGGATAGTATAGAATCATATGATGTTTTTTTTTAATTTTTATAATATAAATAATGTTTTTTTTAATAATTTATAGGACGTTAGTTATTCACAAAATTGTTTTTATGACTAAAGTTATTTTGGACAATTTATAAGGCCATACATATGGTGCTAGTCGCTCTTTACAAAACCTACCATATTTGACTGAGCTAAAAACAAATAAATAATGTACGTAATATATTATTATTAACATGTTAACTAAACACAAATTTTAATGAAGGGTGAGTAAGATATGTGTGGAACTCCACTCAAAAGTGTATGTGTTGATAATATATATCTGACTTTCCATGTCAACACATGTTATATAAGGGTTAGTTTTCTTTGATTTATTAATGGTTACTTTAATGTAGTACGAAAATGTCACTCTAGGGGCAATATAATTTGGAAACAAATTAACCACTATAATGCCGACGTACGCACTTGCTTATTATCTTGCCCACTAAAATGTGTGGTCTAAAAGTTTATGCAGGTTTTACCACTTTTTCTCTTATTTCTCTGCCTTTATGTTTGTGTATTGATCTGTAACTGACAAAGCAATATCTGAAATACACTGTTTTGATAATGACATTGTCACCTCCATCAGTATAGTTGAAAGGGGAATGTTAACAAGTACATTTAGGATATTGTTGAATGAAGTTAAATAAGCTAATTTTTATTGAAAAAATGAAGCCTTTAATATTTTTAAAATATTAAACTATGATTTTTTAATGTGAATTTCTTAAATTTGTAGTCTTAAATAATCTCTTTATGATACTTATAACTTTGAATATATATATATATATATATATATATATGATGCCTTATACATATTACAAATGGATCCCTTCTGATCTCAACACTGATTAGACTGAAGACAGATTGATACATGCATGGCAGCATTCTGTTCCTATATTTGGTGGAAGAATATGAATCAATCCCTGGGAATAAGATATTTGAAAAAGGGTATCTCAGATCAATAATTAAAGCTGCTAGTACGTATTAAAATAGAAGCATGTATCGATTTTGAGCATTAGAAATTGAGGAATATAAGTGTGTTAAGGTTGGCTACTTTGATGCCACTTGCTAGGGGGCAAGAATTTATCGACACTGTACCCCACACATATATATTGTGGCCAATCATTCCACTCGAGTAAACTATGCATTAATTTCGTCATGAGTAATATTGTTCAATCAAATTTGAACCACATATACCTTAACAATATGTATTATTATATTAGGGAATGTTTTCAGGCACAAAAGCACATTAGCTAAGGAACTAAATAAAATTATAAAGATAAATATTTCGTTTTAGTAAATGATGTTTTATGACATTGTTAATACAATATTATATATATATATATATAAATATAAGGTGGTTTATTTACTTTATGCCTACCCACCTATTAAGCATCTGTTCATTGTGCTATATTATGTGGTGGATTCCACCAACCTGAGCCTAATTGCTTGTTGGGATCCAAACACGAAACCACCAACTTTAATTCCTTGGCCTATATATATCCATAATTAATATTACTATTTAATAAACATATTTTCTGTGCTTTATCCTCTGGCCTATAATCCTATATATCCATATTATCTTTCATCTTAATTAGTGAATGTACGTACAAAAACTCAAACTATAATAAACTGTCTTAGTTCATTTTGTTCATCTAATTTTCACAAATAGTTTTCATAGATGATTCTAAAATAAAGACAAAGTTAGAAAAATAATAATCAACGTCATCCAAAAATTATCCACTACTAACAATATGCTGAAAGAAATGGTCTAGCCAATTGTTTGGTAAAACCACTTGAAACCCTACTTACTACTGTAACAACCTTTTCAATCATTTTTGTGCAAGTTGTCAACCTACGAGATAATGTCCCAATCAATCGAACAAATTGGAAAAATATAATAAACTCACAGAAAGATTAAGAATCTTGATGAAAGAATAGAAGTTGGCATAAGGTTTCAAAAAAGTGAATGAATCTTTGATTCTATGTGTATTCAAATCATATCAATCTTAATTACATTAATGGAATGCTTAAACTATTTAAATAGGAAAAATAAAATCCTAACTAATCTAAAGATAAAGCCTAAATATACTTAAAGATAAGATAAAGATATAAGATGATAATTAGTTGTTTGGATAATAAGTAATCTTTGACTAAGTCAGGCTGGCTTACGTGACCGAGCCAGCCTGACCTGTGTGTCTTTGATTTGGTGCGTCAGGGCTGGGCGCTGGCATTGTTGCTGACCGAGGCAGGCTGGCCTTCGTGACCGAGCCAGCCTGACCTATGTGTCTTTGATTTGGTGCGCCAAGGCTGGGCGCTGTCTTTGCTGTTGACCGAGGTAGTCTGGCCTTCGTGACCGAGCCAGCCTGGCCCTTGTGACTTGCTTCTAGTGTGCCATGGCTGGGCGCTGACCGAGGCAGGTTGACCTCTGTGACCGAGTCAGCCTGACCGATGTGGCTTTGGTTCTAACTGACATGGCTTTGAGTTTTGGACGCATGATGCGTGATGCTTGGCTCATACTTGGCTATTATAAACAATTACTGAATTAATTAAAAATAACATGTATGAAGAGAAACACAACAAATTTTAAGTATATATTAAACAAACATCATACTTATTAACATCTAATTAGCATAAATTCATACGAAATTTAATATATAATACACCAATAATATATAAAAACGACGACAAATAATTTTCATTCGATTTCAAATAAAAATAAACACAAATAAGGTAGGAGTTTTATTTTCGAATTTAATTTCAATTTCCAACGTTTTCGAATTCTCGCGAAACTTTTTAGAAGAGCTAATATCTCAGTTAGGTTTTGATCTTAGGATCTATACGTGGGTTATGGGCCAACCACACTTCCACTGCGCCACTCTGATTATTAATTCTCGGAGGTTTAAATTTCAGCACATCATCATAAATGCATATTTATTTTCCTCACAAATTCTTAGATTTGCAACCCAAAGTATCCTTTTATCGTAATATAATTTTGTGCTATAAATTTTCTATTAAACCGAAAAATATATTTTCAAGAATGGAGACACAAACAATGACAATGAATATAGATCTTTTATATAATTTCCTTATACCAAAATAAGTATCACGAATAAGAATTTGATAAATATGTATTAAATAAAAATTAAATTAAATTTTAAATTTAACATGAGTACATACTAATAGTCCTTAATTGGTTAGAGAATGAAAGACAATTATTTTGGTACTGAATACTGATGATTTGTGTTCATGTATATTCCTAGATAAACTTTACTTAAGTAAGAAGTTATTATTAAACTAGCTTGTAGTTATGAGCTGGTAGGTGTGAGTTTATTACTGTAAAGATAATTTATTAAATTAGAATTGTTTAGGAAGATAGCTAATATAATATAATGTAGACACGAGAAACATGTTACTGATATGTATGCTTGGAAATATATTAACCTTCCCTATCGATTTAGAGACATCCTTTGTATATAAAAACAATGAAGGAGTGATACTTTTTGCACTGAAAAGAATTTCCTATGGAAAATTATCACAGATGTAAATCCCATGTCGTGACTCATAAACAAACAGAATAGAAAGTACTATACATCCTTCTGAAACTTAATTTCCAATTTTTTTTTTCTTTTGGGCCTGAAACCATTATCCATTCAGATTTCCAGAAGTAATCTTCGTCAGACCAAGTTTTGGAATTATTATTTTCAGATAAAGTTTCAGAAGCTCTTGGGAATGGATTGAGAATTGACACAATGTAGCAATTTTAACTCTCTTGTTTGTTTGTATGATGTAAAAAGAACAAAACTTGATCTTCATGTGGGAATTGAATATGCTCCTTACAGTGCGAAAAGGACAAGCAACTTAAATTTAAGGCCAGTTTTATGTTGGGAACTAATAGTTAGTTCGAATTGATGCTAACTGTATTTTAGCCGTTGGATGAAAATTTGTGTTGACCTGTTATCGGAAAACGACTTGCATGAAGTCATGATGGTGTAAACCAACTTGCTAATGGAAGTCATTAATTTCCGGACCGACTTCAGTCTCCATAGAAGTCGGTTATTGCTGAACCGACTTTCCAATATATGAAGCCGACTTCAGTGTGGTTTAAACCGATATCAGTGTTGTTGTTTTTTTCTTCATAGAAGTCGGTTATTGCTGGACCAACTTTCCAATTAGCCAGATCGACTTTTTTTCTCCAATTAGCCAAACCGACTTTTGAACATCAATTTAAAAAGTACACCTGCCAAACCTGCAAAATTGTGACGTGCACTGCAAAAAAAAAAAGTGAAGTCGGTTTGCTAATCTTATTTGTTGTAATTACCCAAACCGACTTATATGAGTGAAATAAAAAAAAAGCAAAAGCCTGCTACCACATTGTCAAACTGCAGCCCACATAAATGTGAAAATTTTCCAAACCGACATTTTTAAGTAAACAGGCCTGGTATATTACTTTATTGCTTATTTATATATTGGTTAAATTAATTATTTATACATTACTTTCATTAATTGCCTATATAATTATTTATTTATACATTGCGTTAATTGCATGGTAAAAAAACAATTTATATAACTCAAAATAAATTTATTTTATTTTATTTTCCTAGTATATTGTGTTATTTTAATTGCACTGGAGTCTGTTTGAGCCTCTTACATGTTTTACATACCCAAACCAACTTCTTAAATTGAAATGGACAGAATATACACTGCTTTCATGTGAAAAATATGAAATCTTACATATAAAATACAAACGGGCCATTTATACACGGAAGTCGGTTATTTGCAAACCGACTTCTAAGGAGCTTAAAGTTGGTTATGTGCATACCGACTTTTGTGGGTTTACAAGTCTCACAAGCTCAAACCGACTTCCCTTCTACAAAATTACAGGTCAACAAGTCGACGGCTAAGATGCAATCAATGTTAGAAAATAGAGTACGCATCCATGCGTACTGAACATTAGTACGCATGTTAGACTTGGCCTAACTTTAAATCCTAATTGACGAAATAATAGGAAGGAAAGTTATCCCTATGATATCCAATTTATAAAAAAATAATATTCTTTTCCTAAATCTTAAAAAGTGGAAAAGAAGGAAAACAATAAAATTATGTTCAAAACATTTTTTCATAATTCCAAAACATCATTGATATTCTCAACGTTTTTCTAGTACCATTTCTAGACATATTTTATAAAGGAAAAAATTTCTTAAAAAATGGATGACCACCAAATTAGTTTTCCGAAATAATTTGTCATCCACTAAAATTTTAAAATACAAAATGATCATCATGTTAGTGTTTCTTTTAAGTTCTATATTGATAGGGACTAACATGGTAAAGCTAGTACCCAATCTCCGTGGAGGACTAATTTGATGGTCATCTATTCTTTGGAGGACCCATTTTATAACCTGCTAATATAATGACTATATCTAGAATTTTTTTTGTAATTGATAGTATAATATTTATATATTGTTACTTTTGTATACGGTTAGTATATCATTATATTATTTATTGACTAGGCTAGGACACTCAAACCAACCAAAGGTCAAACAACTCACAAGAACGTATGATACAAACCGATCAACCGAGCTACACCGGGATGTACATCATGGTCCGGACACAAGTGCATGGGTCAGTACTAGGACCATACCTCTGCCAGCAACCCGTCACGCAACCAATGCATGACTGTCATGGCACCTGCAGCTCTCACCAAACTTTATGCTCTAGGATGAGGACAAGTCTAAATTACGGCTACTAAGCCTATTGTAGGATATAAGTCAACTATGCACATAGTAAGACAATACAAGGTCGTCCGACACGGATAAAATAGCTCCTCGATCAGACATGGCATGTTTACAAGCCCAAGCGGTTGACCATGCCAACATCATCTACAAGAGAATATTCTATCAATCTTCACTATAAATAGGGGATCTACCCCACAATGTACATAGTAACACAATTCCTTCGTATCTTGAACTCTTACTCGTTCTACTCTCTCTAACCTCTCTCCTTATCCTCTTGGCCGACTACTCTCCGACTCAACCACTTGATACCACACTAAAGAACAAAGGTGTAATATTTATATCTATATATTATCACTGCAAAATTTTGTAAACAATTAGTACATCATTGATGTATATTACTTATTTTTGATATTTAATGATGATCAAATATCAATGTGATATCATATACTGATGATATATTAATTTAGTGAGACAAGTAAAACATTTTCTAGCTTAAGATATTTAATACGTAAATGGCACACGAGTGCGTGGGTAAATTTTTCTTGGTGGGAGCAGTAATCCGCAACTGTAGTTTGTGGTAATTGAAATCCAAGGAGGCCAACAATTGTCTAGATAACATCCTCACTACTTTAAACTCAATACGCTAATCATTTTATATTTTTTTTAACTTCAATGATTGTGAGCTATCTAACGTAGAAACATCTATTATTATTATTATTATTATTTTAATATCAAAATTAATATTATTAGATGTGAATTACAAGAAGATGCTATATATTATAATAATAATAATTATTAATATAATATTTATACACTATTATCCTAAAAGTTGATAAATAATTCATACCTCATTCATCCTTCATAAATGTCTTCCAACCTCTCCACTATCTTTTCGCGGTATTTCGTGAATGACTATTGCCCACGTCACACGCACTCTAACTTTATAGACTTAAATAACAGAGTCTCCCCATTTGATCATTGATCGTGACTCATGTTATATCAGCTTTCACTTAAGACACAATAAGTTCAAAATAATGTCTAAACCAGACTATACTCAATAAATTAGATGTTGACATAAGCAACAAAATAGTAGATAACGATGTCTTCTCAATAATATAAGTAGATAACCTTGAGTATAGACATGTATGTTCATTTCAGATATATTATCCCACATCAATCAATACTCATACTTGGATGACATGTGTTTTATTCTATTTATCATTTGTTGTATTGATTATAAAATTGCCTATTATTGACTTAATAATTGTTTTCAACCATTATGTGTATGTATGTATGGTTCCATAAAGTCACTTCAATTATAAGTATAAAATTCATTTGTGATAAACATAAATATAATTTACATAACAAAGAGGGGTCTATTGTTTCGAGGCCACAAGATTTCTAGGAATCATATTAGTTAAATGTTAAAAGTTCGATTCTTAGAAGTAATATTTGATATCATATTAATTAATTATTAAAAGTTCGATTATTAGGAGTAATATTTGATGAGATGAATATATATATATAATGTTATTTTCTATGCATATTATATTTTATATAACCATAAAATTTTATTACTAAGAAAATACAAAGGAATGCACCCTATAACTAGAGAGATGAAAGCTCTAACGAGGTTACATTTTTACTTATTCATCTTTCTGAATGGTGTGCTCGTAATATGCACTAAGCCTAATGCCCATTAATTTGACATTTTTTCATATAGAAGATACACATAATATACCCCCTAATTTATTCTGTTGATTCTATTATATAGATATAAAAGAGTTTTATAGTAATTTATCAGAATATTTATTTATTATTATACGGATAATTATGGAATCACTGGGGTTGAAAATTGAAGTGAGAGAGTTAGTGCCCTGAGTTAGTGTGAAAACCCCGACCTTCTTTCTATGTATTATTTTGCTTTTTGGTTCTATAAGAAGGCCATTTAGCACTTTAAATTATGACATACAAACTCATAAATCAAAAGTCACAAAGGTCCTTCATATCCCTTTGTTTGTTCCTAATAGAGACATGGAGAATGAGGACCAAAATTCAGGTGGTAGGTTGAGCATGTTCCGAAAGATAAAGCCTTATCTTGCTATGGTATCCCTTCAGTTTGGTTATGCTGGCATGTATATCATAACCAT